GCACACACACACACACACACACACACACACACACACACACACGCACACACACACACACACACAAAATTCGGAATCTTAAAATTAATTTGTTTAAGAAAGTTAAATTATTTAAAATTTACTTATGAAAAATAAAATTTCTCGTCTATTTCTTCTGCAAAAGTGTCGATTCTCAGAATTAATGTTTCTATAATTAAAGTTTCGAAACGATATCGCGTTAAGATATGATGGAAACATCTGATATAGAGGCAAACATATTCGCGGTGAGAAACATCGTTTACGGTTGTGCTGCGATCGAAGCTCGCATTGTGGTTTTAGGAGATGGTTATTATCGTTTACTCCATTGCTACTGCTTCCAAATAGTCGTGACTAAATTGATGTTACTAAATCGTCATTAACTTTTGGCATGTGGTATTATGTCCAGTGTATTATTTACATCGTAAATAAGTATGTGAAGATATTGTTTAAATATAATTAAATTATTTCTCTATGTACAAATTGTACAAAAGTATTTATCTCAATATTGCATTTTGCTCATTTTCTGTCTTCAATGTAAGATATTTAGAATTGTATTATACAGGATATATATTTTCTACTGCTTTATCTATAGAAAATACTAGTAATATAAATTTGTCTTAAAGTATGTCTTTAACCGACGTATTATTGTTTGGAAGATTGATATATCGACTAGTTGCTATTGTCGATGCTATTGTTAATTGCTCAATAAGATGGCGCGTGCACAAGGGAATCTAAATTTAGTCGAGCTCCGAGTTTCATTTAATTGCCAAAGACTGCGACGACGATGACGTAATATCCAGCGCGTGATACAACTCGTCTCACACTCCTTGATGAAACGATGATAAAAAAAAAAATCGCATTTTTTCACAGCATTGGTGAAACCAGAAACAGTTGATCAGTATACATATCATTATAGCTCTTCGTTCGATATCCTTTCTTCTTTTCAATAAATTCTCATTTTTTTTTTTGCAATCTGATCCGTCTGTTGAATCCAAATGAATATCACGTTAAGACGATACGCGTTGTTAAAGCGAGATTAAGGTGGCACGGCGACGAGAAGGAGTGCACGCGAGGCCGGCAGGACGACAACAATGTGCTAGCGTATGTAAATAAATGACGGGGAGGGAGGAAAGCGCCGAGAGGGCGATGGGACCGTGAAGGGAGAGGATTAAGGAAGAACCGGGGGGGGGGGGGAATCTCGCGAGTCAGCGTTCGGTGCTTAGCGAGGACTTGGCGCGTCGGGTTAGGTAACGCCGTATCCATGACGGTTTTTCCCCCACGGAGAAAGTTAGTCTAGGCGCACTTCATCCGTAAAATCGCTCTCGGCGTGCAGCGGTTCTCTCTCTTTCGCCCCCGTCCCCCCTCCTTCCCTTTCTCGTCGAGCTGATATCGAACAAAAAATGTTGTGCACATAGTTGCGATATGAGCGATGCTTCCGAATTTATGGATATAATTTTCAATAGAAAAAAAAAATTATTAAACATCTAAAATCTAGTCCGCGCGAAGTAATTGTATTCCTGACACGTTTTTCGAAAAAAAATTTTTTTTTTTATAATCGATTCTTATTCTTAAGATTGTATTATGTACATACTGAAGATCTCTGATAGAGAGCTGTATTAGCACCTTAAAGCATTATTTAAGATAGTCTAGAAATAAGGATGGACTATGTATATCGATCTTATGTTTTGTGCTATTCTATGTCACGTAAGATTACAGAATCTGGATTAATCGATGCTTTCACAAGTCGTTTCGCATGGCGTCTCTTCTGCAGATCGAAACGCGGAAATTTACAACAAAGTTCTGATTTTTATTTCGTTACAATATTTATTACAATAAATATCTTTTTACTATAGATTCGTTTATAAATTTACACTCGTATATATACTCGTATAATATACATATAAGATAGATTCGGCCATCTTTTCATACGTCACTCAACTTTTTATTGTATTATTATATTATCTTGTTGCCTGTTTGAGATTATTTGATCGTTATCTCGAAACGTAATATTTCTTCTCGATTCTACCTTCTTTTACTAGCGCTTATAAAAAGATAAATCTAGTAAATCCTTCATTCCAATGTCGAAGGACGCACAACGCTGCTGGAACATCTTTGTTGAAAACTTGAAAGCCATTTGCAAACGGAATTAGCTACCTTCACCATTAATACTTGTCACAATACAAAAGGATCTTTTAATTTCAAGATATTGCAGCATGAGATTGTGTCGGATATCTTCAGAAATAAACAAATGTATATAATACAAAAATCGATTTTCAGTCGCATTTTCTTTTGCACGTGAAATCGATTAATTATGAATCGATTCGTAACACTTGAATAATCTCTCGAGATCAAAACGTCTTGAACTTTGAGTTTTATTTCAACATATCTTTACATATAAATTAATTTACTTTGTTGCATCAATGAGCATCAATTTGAGCATTTTTCACATCTCGCTTGCCGACCAACAGGATGTAAATCTTACATGCCATTTGTAAAAGCCATTTAACGTAAGTTAAATCGCCATTCCACTCGAAGGCGAGCGACTTTCGAGAAATGATCGCGACCGAATCGGAAAAAGGCGTATCCAGATCGCGAGCCTTGGAAGGCCATTGTCCTTGGAGGATAAATTGGAGAGTCCACGACACAACGATCGGTTTTAGCAACAAGTGTGGCCGTCGAATTCTTTCGACGCGATCAACTCGGCGCGATGACCATCTTACAAACGCGCCGGAGAAATACTTGATGCGACATCTTCCGGTAGCATGACGAATCTTGGCTTTTGATGATCATTTCCGGGTACAGGCTGACTCAAATGCGGTCATTCCTGGAACAGTTATTTCCAACTCTGCGTGTGTCACAGAGCGGAAAATCCGCACTCGTAAATCGTGTATTTTTGCTTATCGAGCGATAAATCAACGATGCGTTTTCATGTAAAATTCGTGTTATTTTTTTTTTTTTAAATATGTCACATTTGTGAAATGATATAAAATCACCGCCGGCACGTTCTATTCGCCTTTTCCGAAGCTCTCTTGAGGCTTTCTTGAGACTTTCTGCGTGGCGTGTGCGCGATCTATTAAGCAAAAGACTTTCTACAAGAAAATAGATGACCGTGGCTATCGACCAATCTTGGTGGAACGGCGGATTAACAATTTTCACGTGAAAGCGTGGGATCGATCGGAGATTAGGAATTAACGAGAATCGGGCACTGTTACAAATATGCGCGTGTCTCTCTCGTTGAATCATCTCCCGGAAATGACCTCGCGATCGACTTCACGTACTCATTCGCGAAAATCTTTCTCGGACATTCACGGGATTGGAAACGGATACTAATCTCATTTTTTTACTGCCGCACTTGTTATTCAATACCTATTTTTTTTATTCAAAGATAACGTTAACATTAGCCAAATGTACGTCAGCGCTTAAGCGTCAATGACGCATCGTAACACGATCCCCTTTGCGCGCGAATGGGATAATTTTTTTGAAACAAAAATTCAGGCGCGCGGTTAATCGTCAAAGAGCGGATTTAAGATCCGCGCCTCTTTTCCAGAAGTCAAACGAAGGAAATTTTCACCGTAATAATAAATGACAATGTTCGCGACCGTTAGCGCGATTTCACCAAGTCGCGCAACGATCCGCGAAACAACCCGATATGTGTTGTCGTCGTCGTCGTCGTCATCATCATCATCATCATCATCATCATCATCATCATCATCATCATCATCATCATCATCATCATCATCATCATCAT